ATAACAAAAAATGTTGGAGAACACTTAAAAGGTAAAATGCATAATTTAAAACCTGGCCCTGAATATTATATGCTTCTAAAAAGTGCTAAGAGTTACAAATTACAAGATCCTTCTGAGTCACCAAGTAAAATTAAAGAAAAATACAAATCATTTTCTCCTGCAACTATATCAACTGTTACAAAAGATCAGCTACAAGTGGACTTTAATATTCAAACTCAAATAGCTACTGATCCATTTGAAAGAGAAGAATTAATAAAGTCTGACTCAAAAGAAGAAGAATTAAGAAAGTCTGATCAAGTTTTAAGCAGCCATTTATCTACTGAATCTACTGAACCATCAGTTGTTGATTTTGTTACTTTTAATAATAAAAATGAAATTGGTGATATTCAAAGTGATGCTTTTGATGAAGATGATAATAATGATGATGATGGTGATTATATACCCTCTGAGCAAGAGAGTGATGAAGAAACATTAAAAAAACTTTCTCCATCTATTGAAGATTTGTTAAACGATTTTTATCATTATCTTACAGGACCTGATAGAGCTAGAAAAAGTAGATCTATTGAAAGGGTTAAAAATGACGTTAAAAGGATTTTTTTGGCTGTTGGTTTAACAAATTCAATAAAATTATTGTTTGAAAATGACACAGATGTGATAAGAAAAAACTATCTTCAAGTATATTGTGTAAACAGAAAGTTAGAAGCTGGTTCAATTAAAACATACTTAAACTCTTTAAAAGATTTTTGTTCATATCTTATAAAATCAAAGTATCGTGAATTTGACCTGTCTTTTGAAACTATATTTCAAACTATTTTAAATATTGAAAATTGGAGAAAAAATTACCGTGCTAAAGACAGTATAAGAAAACATAAAAGAGCTGAAGATGACCTTTTAATGCTTGTTACCCCTGAACAGGTAAAGAAATATGAGCAGAGCAAAAATGCATCAACTGCAAAAAAATTACTTGAGGATTTGAAAAACAATCCGAATAAAGAATTGACTATGTTTGATTATTGTTGTTATAGGGACCATGTCTTTTTTATTATACACTTTGCCAGTGCCCATAGATCAGGTGTAACAGCAAATATGACTATGGAAGAATTTTTTAAAATGAAAGTTTTTAAAGATGGTATGAAAATGATAAATGTATGGGATCATAAAACTGTTTCAACTTATGGTCCAGCAAGAGTGACTTTAAATTCTATTGAATTTGAATGGATTGAAGTTTTTGTGAATCATGTTAGAACAAAATTACCTGCTATTCATTCAGATAAAGTATTTTTATCATGGTCTGGGAAAGAAATGTCTTCTGGGGATATAAGTGGAAGATTACATTCGCTTTGGGTGAAAGCTGGTAATTTTGATGGGCGCTTTGTACCCAAAAAGCTCTCTGCTAACATTGTCAGAAAAACAACTTCCACATTAGTTCGTAATAGCGAGTTTTATAAAGATAGAGGTGTTGTGGCTGACTCAATGATGCACAGTGAACTAACTGCTGCCACTCATTATCATACCAGAAGTCAAGAGCTTAATGCAATTACTGGTGGCAATATTGTGCGCAAAAATTTTTGTCGTTCCCCACTAACTAAAACAGACGAAGTTGATAAAAGTAGTTTAACTGAGGAAAAAAATGATCAGCTTCTTACGTCAGAGAACCTCTTAAGTAAAAATGATTTTAGTTTTTCTTTGATGAACACTCCTAAAAAAATCTGGAGTAAGGAAGAAACAAGTTCTTTAAATTTATTATTTCCTGATAATAAATCTCAAAATATATCGTATAACCAAGTAAAATCAATGCTTGCCAAATCTCCTTCAATTAACAGTTCACCTAGACAAGTTTATGACAAGCTGAAAAGAATGAAAAGAAAGTATCTGGAAGATATGCCAGAAGAATCAAAGGTTTTTTTCTTTTAATTTTTATTGGTTCGGTTTTAAGTCTTTTTTTCTTTTTTTTTCTTCTAAATTTTGCTTCGTAACTTCTCAAAATAATTATAATCTTATATATTGTTTAAATTTAATTTTTTTTCATACTAGGTCAAGAAAAATTTGCAGTTTGAACGCAAAACTTGGTCTTCTGAACAGATAAATGAGTTAAAAGTTAATGGAAAAGAATTAATTTTGGGAGGACCTTTATCACGAAGCCGAATTTTAAGTGTTCTAAAAAACTCTAAACTATTAAAAGATTTCACCATCACACAGTTGAGAACACGAATTAATCATGAACGAAATTAAACTTAGCTGTTTCTTGACTATAACTTATAAATAAACAGTTATTATTTTTTTATTTTTAAGTATTTAAATAAACATTCCAGCTTTGTTATTTCTTATATTAGGTTCCTTTTTTCAATATTAAGCTTAACTTTTATGATTACTAACGTGTGGCTTGGGAATGTTTCCATAAGGCCATTTCCTTATTTAAATACACCACTATGGAGAAATAGTTGAATCAGTTTTTACAACCAGATGTCTTTCATGGCATTAACCTGTTATGATGATCAGGACTAAGTATTTTTAATGTGATACACTAGGTATATTATCATACAAGGTTTGCAAGTTCCTCCAACTTTTCCCCACAAATAAATCAAGGGGTTTTATATCATAGCTTTCTTTGTCCTAGAAAAGTTGTCTTTGCCACAGTTAAAGAGCTTTACCTGCCATAATCAAGTATCAGTTTAACTTCATTACCAGAACAAGGATTGATTCATATATATTAAATGTTATCTTGCTTACATTCAATCACTAACAATATGATAAAATTTGAAAAAGTAGTTTTTACAAAAATGGGCAGAATTTTTAAATCATCATAAATAGAGACAATTTAAACTTAGATTAAGGTTTATTACTCTGTTAATTTGAAACTAATGACAAATTCTCTTAAATTATTTCAATCGAAAAAGATAATTTTCTAAAAAAAAGGAACACATGATAAAAGTGAATAAGAATGATTATTATGAATATGAATAAGGACTTTTTATGATGTCACTAACAAAAATTAAACCTAAAATATAATAGCACTGTTATTTTTACCTTTTTTATTATGACTGATAATAATTATTAATTTAATACTGATTAAGATTTTATAAAAACAAATTAAAAATCTAAGGAGAGCTCTTAAATTCAGTGTTATCCCTTGGACATCTTTTTAACACACATTTAAGATTAATTTTTAAATTAATCTTAAATGTGTTAATCTTAAATCTTTTAAATTAAATTTTAAATAACTACAAGCAATCTCTCACAGTAAATGACAATACAGTTACAGTTGCAGACAACGTCTTACAGTCTTACAGTTAATGACAACCAATAGAGTAAAGTTTTTACTGTCAATTGAAAACAACGTTTAAAATGCCAACTCAATCTAGTTAGTGTGTAAAATAGTTGTATTTATTCATATTATATAATATAAACTATTGGTGCCACCAGTTAGTGCTAGTGAATATTTTAATATTGTTGTATTTCTATTACAACAAAATAATAAACTTAAATGATGTACTCTTTTTTTTTGCAGTTGAAACCAATGAAAGTTTCTTTCAGAAATTAATGGCAGTGAAGTGGTACCTACAGTTGCAGCTCAAAATAAGTAGGTTTGAAACTGTCTTTGTGTTGATTGTGTTCTTTCTTTTAATATTTTCTTTACTTGATAAAATTAGTAAACTTTGGCCAAATTTAATTAGTAATTTAGTAATTTGCCTTTCATTTTTGTTTTTCAGTTCTACTTATAGAGCAATACGTGGTATAGATACAAAGACGTGGTATTAAAAAATGCTACAGTTAAAAAAAATCGTTTTACGATTTTTTTGAGGTAATTGTGAGCCTAAGGCTGATGATAAATAGTACATCTGGCTCCGTATATATGTATACACACAAACACACACAAGCTATTTACAAATCGATATTTCTATATTTAGGGTAAACTTTAGGCAAAGAATGCGAGGAACTGTTAAACTGTTATGAACATATTATGCACTATACCATATCATGCACTACACGTGGCGCTCAGTTTACTCGACGATCCAACTTAACAGGATATTATCCATTTTTCTAATATATATACATAGATGCAAAGTATTCAAAATGATTATATTGTTATTTATATATTTAGGATACATTTAAACTAAAGACTATGAAGAGCTGTAAAACTGCTATTGGCAACAGTTGATAATACTAGACGCATGTGTTAGTAAGTAATTTGAATCTCTGGTTGGAATTCTTTTAAATGCTTTTATGCTTTTTACCCATTGTTGCTGTGGAAAAGCTCAATACCAAAGATTTAATAAAGGCAGAGTTAGGCAGGGTCGAAGGATATTTTTCGAACTAATAATCCATTGTAGTGAAAAACGAACTAGTTCAATCTTTTAAAAAAAAAAAGTTTTTTAGATCATAATCGTCTTTGAAGTAAAAAAGTAAACATGCCCAGTGGGCACAAGAAGCGTTTTAAACGTCTAAATCACGTATTAAAACGTTTTAATACATATTCTAGACGTTTAAAACACGTCTCGTGCCCATTGGGTGATTTGAAGTAAATTTCCATTTGTTTTATTTTTTTCAAGAAAAAAAATTTGAAACTAAATCTGTAGTTTTTTTTTTTTTTTTTAAAGCAACATTTAATTTTTCTTGCCGCCATTTGTGCTATAAATTGCTGACAACGTTATTTTATTGCATAAATATGTAACTCTAAACTTTCAAAATTCAATTAACACCATTACGTCCAAAGATATTGCGCAGCGAAGAGAGTTTGGTGCAGATTTTTCAAGTAAAATCATTCCTAGACAATGAAGCACATTTTTACATAGCTTTTAAATATTGATCGTCAAAATTGCAGTCGTTGAGGTCGTAGAACCCACAAAAAACGAATGCATTTTTAAGTGATTACTGTTTGACGCGCATTAACTTGACTGCATAATAAGTTAAAAATGCGTTATCTTCTTGTACCTTAAAAAGTTTAAAAAGATGTAAACTATTTTACAAATTTTAGGGAGGATAACTAAATGGTTTATCTCCTATGGAATTACAGTATCGGACAAAACAAGTGCAAAAAAATAATCCTTATTTAGTTTCTTTATATAAAAGTGCTTCATTTTTTCAATTTAGAGAAATAACTATGTAACTGTTTAGAGACAAAGTTCTTCAAGTTTTATTCATCACAAAGTTCACTATTTGTACACAAAAATTAATAAGTTAATCAAAAGTATTAAAAAAAGTTGATTTCCTTCTAGACAAAAATAAGTGCAACTCCGCAAAATGTTGACCATGCTGTATTTCGCTATCAATACTTCGTAGCGAATCCTTTGTTGTCGATCACTGCCTTGCATTTTCGAAGCATAGATTCGATCAGGTGATCAATAAAACTTTGTGGAATTGCTGCCCAGGCTTTTTGGATTTGTTCAAACAGTTGATCCTTAATACGAACACCTTCACAATTAATTCTGCGGTTGACAATCTCCCACAGGTTCTCAATAGGGTTGAGATCCGGAGATTGAGGCGACCAATCCATCACCGATAGGTGATTGTCTTGAAACCACTGCTTGACTACTTTTGCATATGTTTCGGATCGTTGTCTTGCTGAAAAACCCATTTTATTGCCATATTCCATTCAGCATGAGGTAACATAACATCTTTCAGGATATTTTTATACATGAAACGGTCCATTATTCCATAGATTCGATGTATAAGACCTAGACCGTTAGCAGAAAAACACCCCCAGACCATTGCATCGCCTCCACCATGCTTGACAGTCTTATGACAGTTTCGTAAATCGAGGCGTTTTCCGGCCGGTCGACGTACACGGCAAATGCCATCGCTCCCGATGATGTTGAACTTCGATTCATCACTGAACAGAACAGTTCGCCATTTCTGCACATTCCAGTCAATATGAGATGTAGCAAACAGGAGCCTTACTTCTGATTATTTAGTGAAATCAGCGGTTTTTTTGCAGGGCGTCGAGAAAACAATCCGGCTTCAACAGCACGTCGTCTGAATGTTTGGTCCAATACAGGCAGCTTTAATTGCTTTTGTATCTCGACTTATAAGATTCAGGGATCCTTCTTAACGGATCTGACGATCATAGAACCCTCTCTAGAAGTGGTGGAACTCGGTCTACCACCTTTGTTATCTGCTGCCAACTTCCCCGTAGAACGATATTTGGAACATAGCCTTGATACGGTCCATTTTTTAACGCGATATTTATCACAAATACTTTTTTGTGACATTCCACTTACGTAATTGCAAATAATTTTTTTTTCGTAGTTCCAATCTAAGACTGTCGGGAGCCATATTTGCACTTAAAGTCATAAAAATAATAAGAATAAATAATCACGCTTCTTAAGGCTTACCGTGATACATTTACCTTGTGATTATACAATGATGCTCTGTGGAACACAACGTCTTGGTTGGATGATAACTGTATTGATGTAACGAAACACTTGTTGTATTTCACTTCTTGTATTGATGTTTTTCAATAAAACACTTTGATAAAACTCACTTCGATGATAATACTGACTGATTGACTTCCATACACTGACTGAATTACATGTTGGTTTACATGTCTCTTACACAGTAAAATGAACCTGTGTAAACCTATTCTGGAAGATTCTAGATGCTTCTTTTTGATGCTTCTGGAAGCTTCTGGATGCGTCTGGATGCTTTTGAATGTTTCTGGATACTTCTGGATGCTTCCAGATGTTTCTTCTGGAAACTTCTGGAAGTCTGCATGCTTATGGAAACTTCTGGAAACTTCTGGATACTTCCTTTAATTATTAAAAAACTTCCGTGACGTTGACACGGACCAGACTTAAAAAAATGAAACAAACCAAAAAAGTTGCACTTGTTTTGTCCGCTGCAAAATGGCACTTGTCAACGAAATTCTGCCTGTGTGCTGTCACCTGTCAGCTGATTGCTCATGTCATGGCATGCTATGACTCCAGACTTCTGAACTGTTTGCTGTGGTAGTATAGTTCGTTCCGTTTTTAAGACATGTAAAATTAGTAACACCTTTTTAGAATTGTTCGATGTTGGTTGCAAATGTTTTGTCCAATACTGTATATCCTTTCAAGAGTTTAAAAAGCATTTATGCAGCAAAAGCTCATTTGGTATAACGGTATTACTAGTGACTTAGCACTAAAGTTGTATATCTTAAATTAAATTTAAAAATTGTTTTTGAAAAACATTTAGTTTGAAATGTGACCATGTTTGTTTACCTTTTGTGCTTAGACTATTGATTGTGTGCAGTATGTGGTTTTAGCGTAAAATGTTTTATAAGTTTAGGCAATAAAAGAGAATAAAAATTAAGCTAAAATCAACAAAATCATAATTTGTACCAATAAGAGCATTAAATATTAAATCCTAGCGGGCATGTTGTCCAAAAAAGATTTTTTTTAATAGTTCAAAGACTTCTTTTTGAATCAAACAACCACTCGGACCTGAGACGTCCACATGGTTATTTTAACTTTGGAACACAATACGTGAAAATAAAATTTTCACGTCTTGTGTTCCAAACTTAAGTATGTCTATTCCTATGTCAAATAAGGAGACCTTGCAATTAATTATAATGATGGAAGCCGGGGGAAAAAAATATTCAATAAACTTTGGCCTCCCAACCCAAACGTGAGGGCAGTTATGTAGTAAAATTTTTAAATTTACTATGTTATACTAAATTCAAATTCATCAACAGACTTTTAATTTTATTTGAAAATATTATAAATCACAAAAGTTATAACCATGCAAAATTTGCAATTACAACTTTTGTAATTTACAACATTTTCAAATAAAATTAAAAATCTGTTGATGAATTTATATTTAGTAGTAGGTAGTAGAGTTTAAAATTTTACTACATTGCTAAAATCACGTTTGGGCAGGGGGCAAAGTTTTAGGAGTGTGGTACCTACGTATAATTGCATTTAATCTAATGAGTTATTAAAAAATCTCCAAATTTCTTTTTTTAAAAAAAGCGTTAGGAGCTAATGAGGTTTTATGGAAACATACAGGGGTGGGACCGCAAAATGTGAACACTTTTCTGATTGTAATAATTAATTTTCTGTTAAATATGAACTATTTTAAATAAGAATGTCCAATGGTTGGACATTCTTATTTAAAATAGTTCATATTTAACAACTCTTCAGACACTTTCTGATGAGTGAGAGAGTACAACTACATCTAACGAGAAAATAGTTAAAGCATCTATTGATCAAGGAGTTTTTCCTGATTGATTAAAAATTGCCAAAATTATTCTAAGTTTTAAAGGTGACAGAGCTAATATCATTAATTACCGCTCATCTCCGTCCTTTCTACCTTCTCAAAAATTTTAGAAGATATTATGTACAATAGAATGTTCAATTATTTAAATAACAATAATCTATTATACAAAAACCAAAAAAAAATAACTCAACTGAACGTGCAATTATTCAGTTGTTACACAAAATCTCTAATTCTTTTAATAATTCTCAATTTACATTTGGCATTTTTATTGTTTTATCTAAAGCGTTGATACTGTAGATCACGATATATTGCTTCATAAAATTAAATATTGCATAATAAATAGAGAGCGCCAGAGTATATGGCACCCTAGGCGAATCTGACACACAGCGCCCTCCTCCCCAGTTTACTTGTACATAGGAATGCTTAAGTTATGTTATTATATTTTGTATATACATTCGGAAGGATATATTCATGCATAATCTTAAATAAACGTATATTCATGTAACTTTACAATATATTAATAAACAATTCCAAAACTTCACTTTTCGCGCTATTGTTTTTGCAAATGTAGAAACGAGTTCCGTCAGTTCAATGTTTCCAGTAATACCATGTTCACTTCACACAACAGAGTAGTTAATCCAACAAGTCTTTTTTGCTGCATTGAAGTTCCCACAAATGTTTTTATCAGTTTGAGTTTTGAGAAGCTTCGCTCACCGCTAGCCATGGAAACTGGAAGTGTCAAGAGGATTCTTAAAGGTACAGCAGTATTGGGGGCACAATCTGTCAGATTATTTTTAATATAAAATTTTGTAAATCTAGCAATGTATATATAGCAATGTACACCTTGCAAACGTGCCAAAATTTTCTATAAATGAGTAATAAAAAATTCGCATTGTATTAATTACTACAAAATTTCATTCTGCATAAAGTATAAAAAGAAAAAGAAATCACAATAAAAAAAAGTATCAAAGTTGATTCTTTTGTTTTATTTGACGCAATTTGACTTTAGCTTTATTTGAAACGATTTTAAAGAGTACTTTTTCAAATCTCCTAAATTTAATAGAGATTTGAAAAAGATTTTGGCAATGTTTTCAATATATTTATTTTTTATGTAGCAAGTTTTAGTGTCGCCCTAGAAAACTTTGCCGCCCAAGGCGGCCGCCTACTTCGCTTAGTGGTTAAACCTGTTTTATCAAATTGAAAACAAGTTGTCTATTATAATAATATATCTCACAAAAATTTGTTGAAATATCCTTTGGTGTTCTGTAATGTTCTATTCTCGGGCCACTTTTGTTTTTGATTTACGCAAATGACTTTTATAAAGCCCTAAATCTTTTAAGTCATGTTTGCAGATGATACCAATTTATTTCTCTTAAT